ATTAAAGGTTTGGGACCGACGCTGCCACTACATATAAAGGTTTGGGACTTCGGTCGCAAAAATAAAAGGTTTGGGTGTAGTTCGCAACAAAATGAAAGGTTCGAGACCATGACCTCAATTTTCCCTAATTTTTAAGAGAGCTTCCTATTCTGAAAATACTTTTAAAGAAAAGTAACATTAGAGCAGCTTACTTTAAAAGCTCTTTTAGAAAAAAGAAAAACCCAATAAAATTATACAAAAGCAACTTTTAAGTCTCAAAATTTCTTTTGACTTTTAAAAAATTATGCCAAATGGGCTTTTAATCTAAATTTTAATTTAAGTCAAAGTCAATAATTAATTTTGATTAGAGATCTACAACTTTTAAACCATACAATTCATCAACTTTTATTAAAATTCATTAAAAATCAGATTTTAATCCTCGCCAAACATGGGCTTTATTTTATTTGAAGGAAATGGCACGATTGGTTCCATGGCGTAGTAACAAGATAGTTCTCAACTTTAAAAATGGGACATTTGATCCTCAACTTTTATTATTATTGCACAACTAATTTCATATGATTGAAATTGACTAAGGGCTCGTTTGGTATAGTTTTTGAAAAGTCAAAAGGATCTTTTGAGATTTAAAATAGCTCTGGATCTATTTGACTAATTTTATGAAAATAATTATGCTAGTTAAAAGAGTTTATTGAGGAAGTTGGTCTAATTTGACTTTCTCTAAAATCACTTCTAATATAGAAAGTGCATTTAAAAAATTTGTTTTCAAACAAAAAAAATAAAGGAGCTTCCTTCAAAATCTCTTCAGTAAGAAGTAAAAGTAAAAATAAGTCATATCAAACGAATCTTAATTCACCGTTGCAATGATACTTGGAAATGTGGGAGTATTATTTTTAAAGTTAGCTTGACTAAGTTTAATAAAAATATATTGTTAAGTTTATATTTTGTATTGGTGATTATGTGAATAAATTGACCAACTTGAACAATTATAAAAGTTTATGGACTAAATTGTAAAGTTTCATAGTTGGTAGATTAGTTTAGGGTTTGGGGTTATATATTTGGAACAAGAAGAATTCATGCCGAATTTTCGCTAGCAGCTCGCCGGAGTGTTGCTCGAGCGACTAACGCAGAAAGTTTCTCCCGCGATGTTCGCCCTCTTGTTGCTCGAGCGACAGACCATTCGCTCGAGTGAAGAAGCCCTCTCGCTCAAGCGACGTATTATACTGAAAAACCTAATTTTCATTTTTCGAGTTTTTTATTTGGCCTATACAACCTAATTCGTCTAACATATATATATATTGAAGGCGCCGTATTTCCTGAAGAATGGATTGAACAATATAATATTCAAGAAGAATACACCCTACATTAGATCCAAAGTTCAATCATTCAATTCATATGTGCCTCTTTCATTGAAAATATCAAAACTATCAAATCAAACAATGAATTGATTTCTTCGCTTGGACCTGCTGCAAGATTGTGTCGTCAACTGTGCTGCATTAAAGATCAAGGAAGAGTTTGAACAACGAGGAGTTCTTGAGGAAGATTTACAGGAGAAAAATTGAGTAAAGAGTCAAGATTGGAATTCATGTGCTCATTCCAGAAGGACTGCTTTACAAAGAAGAGCTGGATTGGTGTTGGTGTGCACATTTCAGGAGGGCTGCTTCATACTTCAAACAGGATATCAGAAAGCTTGTGTTGTCAACTTTGCTGGTAGTCTGTAAGTTATATTAACAGTTTATAGTAGATCTTTGACCGGTAAAGTGCCCGAAGTTTTTCCCACGTTGGATTTTTCGGTGAACAATTCTGGTGTTGGTTCTTTATTTACTGCTTTGGCATAATTGCGGTATTTCAAGATATGTTAAATTGACTTGTTTGACTAATTACCTAAACATAATTAACTTGTGAGTTGTTGCATGTTAATTACGTTTTAATTCCGCATTTACACTTAATCACCCTCTCTAGGTGTAGTAGGGTTGAATCTCGCGTTTTTCATATAAATGAGCAAATAATAATAAAAAAATCTTCTTCTGTATTTTTAAATTAAATTAAATTAAATTTCAATTAAAAGGAAGTCTAGAACTGACTTTTATTTTTTAAATGACTTTTTCACCGATTGCTAAAGTGGAACCGTACATTGAGGTTAGGTTTGCTAGAAGTTAAAAGTTGAGGAGCAAAAGATGTCCTACTTCAAAGGTTGAAGACCATTTTGTTGAAATTTTCCTTTTCATTTATTAGTAAAATTCCTTTTTCCAAAATTGCAACATCTGCACACCTATACATTAAATTATTGAACAGTTTACATACTATTATGTGCTTGTTAATCTTGTTTTTACCAAATTGGAAATTTACTTGGGAAGTTAGATTCAAGCTATTGAGGTACTCTCGAGTTTGGAGATAGGTGGAGCCTATAGCTAAGAGAGGATTTGAGCATGTCTCAATCTAACCCAATGGTGGGGTGTGACATCCTCGTGCAATATCTTGATTCGTGTATGTGATCTGTACTTCTCCAATTATGGTTGGTGGCAACCACCTTCTTTCATTCAATGCATTTGAGTATGTGACAATGAATTGTGTCCCAGATTTGAATAATTCTTTGCTCACAACCGACATAGAAGAGAAGTACATTTTCGCTCGCTCATACCTAAGCATCAATAGACTTGTTTTGGTATGTTGTGCTTTCAAGACAATAAGTTATTTATGTGTTTAAGAAAGATTTAACTACGTGAATAATCAGATAAGTGTTTGATAAACTTGTTTCAAAATTATAGTTAATTTCAAAATCAGCATTTGTATATATGCCATTATTCAAATGAACACTAATTATAATGATGTTTAATAAAATAATTGAAGAAGCTAAAAGGGTCACTTGAAAAGCAACATTTTTACTGCTGCTTAAGATTTGCTATTAAATTGTACAAATTCTTCTATAATAACTTTTTTCTTATTTTTAGTAAACGCCAACAACATTCGATCATCAAACAATCAGAAATTGAGCTCTTCTAATAAGGTTAATGTAGGGTCTCATAGTTCTTACTAATGCTTTTGCTTACCTAGAATGGCTTTTGAACAAACTACGTTCATTTTTATTTGAAAACCAATTTGTAAAGTAGCTTCATATTTTAGAGAAAGTTACATTAGATTCAACTTTATTTAAGAGCTCTTTTAATGAAAAGAAGCATTTTCTTAAAATTAGTCAAACGAGTTTAAAAGCTGTTTTTGAATTTTAAAAACTCATTTTGACTTTTCAAAAGTTATGTCAAACTGACTCTTAATTCTAACAATACCAAACTATATATATTTCCACCCTTTGATTTTGATTATTTAAGAATCACTTTTACCTCACACTTATTTTTAAGGTTTTCCCATAACGTTTTTCTACTTTTAACGACACGTAAAAACACTATTTCTAAATAATCAATTTCTCCAAATATATATATATATATATATATATTTGGAGAAATTGATTNCATTTCTGTATATATATATATCAAACAAACAAGTGCTCAATCTTTTTGTATGACTTTTCCCTCAAACTTATTTTTTAAGGTTTCCCATAACATTTTTCTACTTTTTGCACATAAAAAAAAATCTTTTTTTAAAGAATCTATTTCTTCAAAATATATATAAAAAAAAAACATATATATATATCAAACAAGTGCTCAATAAGGCATGCATTATACCAATAAATAATGTTGATAAACAAAACTCTTCCCAACAAGAAACAATCTTGAAAAATTTACATCCTCAAACGATTACTTAAACTCGAAATTGCGCAAAGTTCAAACAAATGAATAGAAAGAATAATGGCATGCGCTAAAAGAATATCAATTACAAGAAAGAATATCAAAATCCAATTGTGTCCACAACCCAAGAAGCTATTTAAAAAATTCATCACTCAGCAGGAGGATTTTTTGATCTTGTAGCGATAGAACATTTTCTTTTTCTTCCCAGAACAATTCTTAATCGTAAGGACAATTTTTCCCGATTCACTGTTCTTGAATGTCTTGCGAACTGGTGCCTCGTCCGAGCCCATCTTCTTCTCTTTCTGAATGATCATGGTGTAAGAATTCTCATCATTAGGCACAAACTCCTCTGCACAGTTCACCTCCCAACCCAAAACATTAAGATCCCAGATTAATGTGCTTCCAGCCTCTGGTGCAGGTATTTCAATTACTTCAGTTGATCCAGTCTTGATCACAACTTCTGAAGTTTCACCATCGCTATCAGAGAACTCGATGTCATTCTCCCTCTTGAGGCCGCCATACTGGATCGGGATTTCTTGAATTGGTACATACCTGTCTCAGATTTGGGGTTCGAATTAGTTTTCATGATCCTAAGTACAAAAATTTGAGGCATAAAAGTAATGGTAAGGAGATGGATTTACTTGAGCAAAGTCTCCGTGACCTTGGACGGACGAGCAAAGACTAATTTGCTCTTGGTTCGTTGAGTTAGGAAAGGAGACAACAGGGAATGGAACGCGAAATACCAGAATGGAACATTGATGAATATCTGCAACAAGAAATCCACATTAGCATTTGTCAATAAAATCAGGATTTTACTTAGATTTGTACCCAAAAATCTTACATTTTTGGCAACAAATTCCGGGTAGTTGTCCTGAAGAAGCGCAATGGCCTTGTTCACAGCAGCACGAACTTCCTTCTTGGATGCTCCTGGCGAGTTCTTAAGGTCATTGATTTGAACTAAAGAGTTTACACAACCAGGCTTGAATTTAAGTTTCTGAATGCCTTTCTCCATAAGCTGGACCCTCCATCGCAGGAATTGCTCGCGCTTCTCCTCGTCTCCAAGCGTCTTCCGATAGATCTCCTCATTGTCCAAAACCCCGAAAATGTTGTAACATAAGGGGTGCCCTTCGCGATCAACGCCACTCATATATGCGGCCGAGTTAAGTTCAGGACCGAATTCTTCGTCCAAGATAGAATCGATCTTGAACTCTTTCCTCCATTGGAGTGTTTTCTCGAGCATCTGGAAGGCATCATTCACTTTGAAATCCCTAGCCCTCAAAAATTTTAGGAGAACTACATTAGTACCTTCATCCCCTTTACTGGGCAAAAGGGGTACTCCCCAGATTGAGATTTCCTTGTCCTCTTCAACATCAACATTTTCTTCACTTTCCTTGTCACATTCTTCCTCTTTAACACATTCTTCTTCAGCCTGATCCTTTTCTTTCTCCTGTTTTGCTTCGTCGTCATAGACGGGTTTTTTGGATCCCTCTTTCTTCTCTTCTTTCTTGAAGAGAGCGTTCCCAAGAATGGCTTCTTCAAGTTTTGCTTTGAGCTCATTCAAGGCCTTCTTCTCATTCTCTTTTAGATCAGAGGGAAAATTACTCTCTTCTCTATAGGAAGCGCTTTTCTGCACCGCCTTGGATTCACAGTTATTATCCTTTTCATCCTTCACTTCTTCCACCGCCTCTTTCGCCTCCTTCAGAACCTCTTCTGCCACTGGCACCGCCTCGGCCTCAACTTTGACCTCAACAGTCATTATGTCTAGCTTTCTATAAAATACAAAGAAAAAAACACCGATTAATATACAAAAAACTTTAATTTCACATTAGAAAAAAATTAACTCTCACCTCTGAATCAGCCTCAAGATTCCTCCTTTTTCCTTTTGGAGACAGAGAATTTTGCTCTGAATTTGTGTGTGGAAGAAGAAGGGGAAGAGTGTAACGGTTATATATTTTTTGAAAGTTGAAAAAGGGCCCACAACGGTCATTTATTTGTTGTCATGGCATGTTAGAGCCGTTAACATGGAGTCCAGCGAAACTTTGGTTTGTCAGAATCAATTAGGGTCCACCTTGCCAAATATTTTGATTTTTAGACTCTGAATAATGATAGAATGTGCGGCGAATCACATGGTATCCTTCCCCTTGGCTTGTTTACTTGACTTAGTCAAATTAATTAAATATATTTAAACATAATTATTAAAGTTGAGCTCGACTCGCTAACTTTTCAATTAGTGTGATTTTTGGTTCTCACTTTATTTAAATATGTATACTATTTGGACTCCCTTGTGAAGAAATCCTTCACATTGACTTTGAAATTAATATGACGTAAAGTCGAATGATAAAACTGTTAAATCATCCAACATTCAACTTTGAGTCACGTGAAAGCACGAGCTATTTTAATATTCATATTGACAATATTCTTCTCTTAGGGCCTGTCTGGCTGCGATTTGAAGCCAATTTTCATTGAAAATCAGACCGCTGTAAAGCATGGGCAACTGCATTCTGACTCTTTATCTCTATGGTGGGACCCAAGAGTTGAAAATAACGGCTGGAAAATCAATTGATTCAATGCAAAACCACTCTCTCAGACAGGGCCTAAATAAGTTGATGATTTATAACCTTAATTTTGAAGGATAGGACCAAAAACTACATAGCCCAAAAGGTTGGAAGTCCAATCATAATTTTTTTTTAATGGGAAGACTAACTCCAATCAATTACAGCGTTCACAACAAAATCAGGCGGAATATAAAACCCGTATTGAAAACAAAACATTGAGTACTAACACGCATATTTTCAAATGTCAAGGATTAAGGTGTATCTTGAATATTAGTTGGACTGATAGTGTTAATACGTTGCAATGATGGCATTGTGATTACTTTCATTGGGCATTTTTTTCCTCCCAGTTTCAGATTAGAAAAAAAATTCACGACTACAAATGTATAAGAATACAATTTCAAATTTAACAAACTTTAAAAAAAAAAAAAAAAAAATTTCAAACACATTTGTGTCCTCTGATAAATGTTAAGACTTATTACTGATATTAAACAGGTCGCAATCACGTATCATACAATTTATAGGTTACAATCAAGTGTTAAGTCACAAATAACAAGAGGTCAGAGTCACATTACAGATCATAATCACATAATAAGTATTAAATCATACAATTAGTAGGTCATAAATTATTGTGTAAAAGTTAAATCTCCAAAGTTGAAGCATTGAGCTTACCACATCACTTCATTAGAATTGAGATGCCACTACACAACAATTGTTATACTATTTTAATCAAAATCGTATCAACGTCATACAAGATTAGACCAGTTCATCGATCATCAGTGGACATTTCGTTAAGGATGTGGATCGAAATGTTCAATAGAACACGAATGCTGTCAACTTAATTCAGGGCTCTAATTTACCCAAACAAATCCTTAGCTTTTGTGGCTAGGAAACAGGTGGAGATGGGTGGGTTGGAATGTAAGGTTGTAAACCTGATTTTTGATAAAAATAAAAAATAAAATTATCAGTACCTGATTTTTAAAATTGAAGCTTGAAAAGTGGGATTCTAAGTAATTTTTCATTCAAATTATTAGGTGCAGACACTTTTTTGGGCCGTTGCTGCTGGACGTATTTTCCTTGGGCCCTTCAACGTGCAAACTTTTCATATTTTGGAAAAAATTGTCTTAATCAAATTCTAATTTTGTTACATAAATTAAAAATCACAAATCAAACCAAATGCATAATCACTCTCAAGCTCCTAATCCACATCCACTACCAAACTCATAGCCGGGCCTTGAAGTGGTACCTTCAGCATTGGATCCCGTTACATTTTATTGTTATAACAATGAACATAAGAGTGATCAGCGTGCCAAGCACATAGGCAAGAAATATCATCAGAGATGCTCACCGAAGAGACATGGTATTTAGTAATATTGCATTAGTGGATAACCTTGTGGACCCGTTCACTTAGACCTTATTAGCTGGGCATTGTTAGTTTAACGGCTAGTATTTTGTAAATCATATTATAAAATATAATTTGATTTTATCTTTTATTCGCATATGTAATTTGAGAAATTAATTTAAGTTTCCATGATAAAAAAAATATATTGTTCACAATTGGTAAATGCTGTTGGAAGCTTTATCTTGATAAGATCGTATTTTTCTCATTGAAATTTGTTTGAAACACGGAAATAAGAATAATAATGTGCTCGATGTACGTTGAACGAGACCACATAGATGACTTTTTTGTGATAACTAGGAATAATACTCTAATCATTGAATGAGTCACCTAAATCATGAACGTGTAATGTACTTTTAAATGCTAGCTCAAATTCTTTGAAATGCCAGTGAGGGATACCTTATTATATATTATGTAACGCTTTAAATACAAATTGTTTAACTATTTTATAATTCTTAATTCCTAGAAGCTTATGATATTTTATTAAATGTTTTTTTTCTTTAAAATATGGTATTTTGCTATGAGGTTTACAAAATTTTTCATCTTCATTTTTTTTCAAACCAAAACTTGAAAAAATAGAAAATAAATTTTAATAAAATAATATGTGTTGGAAAAATTAGTAAAAAAATCATTTGAATTTTCATGTTATTAAATGGAAAATGTGAATTATTTGTTGTCATGATTTAATAAATAAGTTATGTTCAATAAATTTTTTATTTTTATTTTTGGAAAAATAAGTAAAATAATATATGATACTTATTTATTATTTTGTATCTTAAATTTTTTTTTTTTTAATTTTAAGTTGAGTTTTAACTTTAATACCATTTTGCAATTTAACAAATTAATTTTCGAGAATCCATAAATTATTTTTTCTTCTAGTTTGGATTTCCTTTTTCCCTTTTTTATGAGAAACTTTAAGAACAAAAGACAAATATAAATATTACTCAAAAAAATTATAATTTTGTTCGATAAAATGAATATAAAAAATGACAAGTTAATAGTTTATCGGAAATACTAGATTTAATAGGAAAACATTCATGATCGATTCCATATAATTACATTGTTAGCAATTCTCATTTTATCCAATCCGAACTATAAAACTCAGCCAGTGCAGGTTCGTAAGCAATTAAAAAACATCCTTTAAATTATAAATATATGGCTGCGTTTCTATATGATTTACGCTGAGCAGGTCCAATCCCAGAAATAATCCCAACACACCTATTATAAAATGTATTCGCGTAATAGGTGATATAAAGAAGGTTTTCCTAATTTCTAGCTAGTAAGAAAGTTTACTTATTAAAAAGCCATGTTTTTATTAGATCGAATTTTTTTCCGACATATTTGTTAGACTTTTTAACTTTATGCAATTTAGTTAACGAATAGTTTATTCTTCCCCTTTTTGTAAAAAAAAGGCCTAAACGAGCTTTCAAGTCTGAGTAAAACAATATTTTGACTAACCTTCGGTAAATAGATTTTGAGGCGTTACATCTGGGTGGATTATTTATTCATATTGAAAAGGCAAATAAATAAATAATACAAACTTAGGAGGAGACATATAAACTTGCAATCAACGAAAATACCATGGAACAAATTTACCAATGTGATTTCTATGGGAGCTCAATAAAATTACCTCAATAAAATCCAAATTTCTTATTATATAGCTTCTGCACCCAACACATCATGCATTGCGTAGTCTTTTGGCTCATGAACACTCCTATAAGTATTGTCATCTTCAATTTAATAGTCTAACCATAGCCTAACTCTGACA